CAGCACTGCATAAGGCTGGACAAATCCTTATATGGACTAAAACAAAGCGGACGTATGTGGTATAACCGGTTAAGCGAATATCTCATCAGAGAAGGCTATAAAAATAATCCGATCAGTCCATGTATTTTTATCAAGAAGTTTGCAAACAAAGGATTTGTAATCATAGCAGTGTATATGAATGATTTAAACCTCTGGGTAATCGACCAAACAGTTGAGTATATCTAAAGAAAGAATCTGAAATGAAAGACCTAGGCAATAATTAAGTTCTGTTTGGGATTACAACCTGAGTACGTGAACAATGGAATCCTTGTGCATCAAATGGCATACACTAAAAGAGTACTCAAGGAGATTTAATAAGGACCAGGCCCGCCCATTGACCAGGCCCAATGGTGGTGAGAAGCCTCAGATTGGATAGTGATCCATTCAGTCCGGAAATGCCATACCTCAGTGCCATAGGAGTTCTAATGAATTTGGCTAAACACACTAGACCAAACATTTGTTTTGCCGTGAGTCTCCTGTCTAAATTTAGTTCATGATCAACCCAAAGGCACTGGAAAGGGTTAAAGGAAGGTTTGGCTAAGTTTTAAAGTCTATTCTTCCTGCGTTGTTTACTTGGGTTTTGTTCTATACTGATCTAACCAAAGAAGGGCCAGTTTGCTTTGGTTTAGTTTGATTTGCTGATGCAGGTTATTCATAAGATCAGATTATGGCATGGTCAATGAATAGGAACTACGTGTGGCTTGATCCCTTCCACGGGTACGTAGGCAGCCTTCCTTAAGGCGCATCTACTACTACATCAAAGACCATCATATTTGAAGACAACGCATCTTGTATTGCTCAACTCAAGGATGGCTACACTAAGAGGGATCGAACGAAGCATATTCTACCCAAGTTCTTCTTCACTCATGAATTACAGAAGGACGGTCAGGTCAAAGTTCAACAGATCCGGTCAAGTGAGAATTCAGCCGACCTATTCACCAAATCATTGCCGACTTCAACGTTCCGGAAGCTCATTCATCAGATCGGGATGCGCGGACTTAAGGATCGACAGTGATGCTCAAATCAGGGGGAGTAATGCGTGTTGTACTCTTTTTCCTTCACCATAGTTTTGTCCCACTGGGTTTTCCTGGTAAGGTTTTAATGAGGCAACATTCCCCAGCGCATTATAGAGATCCCGGTTTAGTATCGGGCACGGTTATGTCTTCTAAGAGGAAGTGTTATAAACCATATGGATGGATTCCATAACCGGCCCATGACCCATTAGAGTTTTACCTTATTCTCTATATCATGCTATTATCTTTGTATATATATCCCTTATTCTATTAATGAAAGACACAGTTCACAACATAAAGCAATATTTACCTAGAAGAAGCACAGGTAACAACGACAAGTGGGATGACTCAAGTTTGAGAGACCAACATTGACGAAATTACCCCGCTTTCGTGTGGATATGGACCAAGCTAAGATGGTAAAGCAAACGACTGTAATCTACTTTCGTCGGTAAATGGGTAGCTAGTGTCGTCCTCACAGTGAACAAATCGCATACCAAAGTCAAAGATATCTATCTACCTTAAGAGTCAAACAAGTTAAATACTTAACTGTATGCTCTTGATTGAACACGTACACATCTTCTTGTTGTTCACCCACTTCGCTAAACCACACGTGTTTTTATTTTTCCCTTTTTCGTATGTAACTATTTTTCCAATTTAACAATTTTTATATGAAAATAAGTAAAGATAAATGTAAACACATTACATTAATTAGAAATTAAGAATGACCTAATACCAAAATAAACAAGGGAATTCACTCGTTTCTATCTATCAACATAAAAGCAATTAATGTTATTTTCCGTTATATCCATAGAAAACAGAGGAGACAACTTTAAATAATACTACAATGAATGGTTTAAATCATAAAACGCAATAAACCAAACCATAAATCCAGTAAACGAATAAGTTAGTTAATATCATATTCAATTTGTTGATCTTTCTCATAAAGTAAATGTAAAGGTATCCATCCACATTCTCATTGATTTTCAAGAAACGTTCGGTTATAGTTTATTTTCTGTTAATGAATAAATTGTACTAGGAGACCAAGTCTCGACATCTTAATCCCATTTATACTATGCATTTATGTGATACTATAACATTATATCTCTCCATATAATTACAGGATATTTACTATTCGTGTCAATCTATATTTATTACTGTATATAATCTTCTTGTTAATAAAACATGCAGCATTTATGTTTATATAGCATATGTGATCTGACAGTCAACATTCAGTTGATTAAGTACTCCTCACAAACTTGTTACTGACCCCTAGTTACCGGTCAGTGCCCATGAACCAAACAGTCTTGTAAACACCATCATCATGACTCTACTAGCCAACCCAAATGAAAAGAAAGATCGATATCTGATGTTATATATCTTCATCCTTATCATGCACACAGTATCATCTCAATATAATGAGACCTTGGGCAAAACCAAAAAAAATTTAAACCTCTTAGTAAATTTTTTTAAAAAAAATATTTGGGCCTTTTTTCTTTAAGAAATTTTTTAAAACTAATATTGGACCATTGGCATTTGCCACCTTACATAGGGGTAGAGACGGGCCTGCATGCACAAACACTATTCTATTCTATTAGGAAGTTGCTAAATAATGTGCACCTGACATTTATAAAAGAAAATTTTTTCCAATAGACTCTGTATAAGTAGACTTCGATAATCTTGTTCATCTATTTTTTAAATCTTTGGTGTTTCATGATTTCTTTTGTAACAGTACAGTATTTCTGTTGAACAAGAAAGTGATTTGAAGTACATTCTATACGGTGTGATAGTTCATGAGGGTGAATTGATCAGTTCGGATCACTACTACTGCTATGTTCGCACTTCAAGTGCACTTCGAGTGCATGGCAAGGCAATACACACCCAAAATAAAAGCAAGAAACTAAAAGAAAGAGAGATGAAAGATGATTTTAGATCATCTTTTTCTATTTACAATACAAACACACCCAAAATAAAAGCAAGAAAAAAAAGGAGATGAAAGGATGATTTTATATCATCATGGTCTATTTACAATTATAAACACACATCAAACTATAAATTAGAAACTATGGCTTGGATCTCACCTCACATGTATGGACCAAACTATGAAATGAGGAGACAAATGAATAGCACACCGGTGATGTATCCCATGTAATATGCAACCCCCAAAGCCACTAGAACTATAAAACCAACTACAACTTCAACTCCAACTCCTTGGTATGACATCTTCTCTTCTTTTTTCTTTCAACTAGCTAGCTTTTTTTTTTTTTTTTTTGTGAAACTAAAATCACTATTCTATAGTATATATAGAGAAACTCTAAACCCTAATTGACATGTTTAATACCCATTTTTCATACATATTTTTGATATATATAATATGTTTTCATATTTTATTTTATTTTAAACAATAATTATAAAAATATGGTCTAATAAAGCCATGTGCCTTTTACCTCTCTTGTTTACAATCCAAATTTTCATCATTACAATATGTCAGTCCTTAAAACTAATCTGTTTTTCTAAAAGTCTTATGTAGTCATATATTGACAGTGACAATGACAGTCTTATGTAGTAGTTTAGGATTACGAAGCATATAGTATAGCATAATTAGTTGATTATCTCATAAAGCTATATATAGTTATATTATACGTCAAAATTTTCCTAATTATTCGCATAAGATAACGGGTCTGATTAATTAGTAACCAAAAACTGTATAATTTTTTTAGCTGTTAGCTGGAGCTGTAAGCTTTACCGGAATAGTGCAAAGCTGTATGAAAGAACTGTACGAGAAAACTGTACAAAAAAACTGAGAATAAAACTTTTAGTAACATTTTTGATAAAGTTTTTATGATTGGTAAAAATAAAAACTATACCACTTGTAATACTTTGTTTTAGTTCACCAATCAAAGCCAACATATTTTACTATTTGCACCAACATTATGGAAAGAAATAAAATGTTAGAAAGTATATGTTCAGATATTAAAGTGTCGCTGTCTCTGAATCGGGCCACCTAGTATTGAGGTTATTTACATTTCTGCCATATTATCAGTGGCGGAGCTAGAATTTTAGTTTATAGGAATCATATATAATTAATTAATTTTTATTTAATTATATATTAATATTAAATTATTTGTTTTAAACTAAATAAAATATCTCTAAAAAACTAAAGAAAAAAAAGAATATAACTAAAAATTTAATATTTACAACGATTTTAAAGATTTGTAGCGATATATTAGAAAAAACATAAAACAAAAAATGGAAAATGAATTAATGCTAAAAAAAATTAACATGTGAGGGGTCAAATTAAGAAAATTGATTGATGGCATGAGGTCATTATGAAAAAATTAAACAAAAATATCCATAAATTATTGTTAAACTTACCTTAAAAACCAAAAATCATAAATGTTATGGGGTCAATTGACCCTCCCTCCCTCTTCACTACCTCCGCGCCACTGCATATTATATATATATATATATATTTGGTTGGTTACTCCAGTGTAGTGAAACGAAATTACCCTTTGGGAAACGATTGTCAAGAGTCAAGACAACAACCGATGAGATTTCGATGATATGACGTGTCAGATTCGGCGGTCATGATTTATTTTCATTTCAATTTCTCAAGACAACGGAAAATAATAATTAACATTATTCTATCCTTTAATCTTTATAGACGAGATTGTTAATTAATTTACAAAATGATTAGAACAAGTCAAGAAGACTTATTACCCAAATTGCAAAAGTAAATTTTTTCTTCATATCTACTGTTTTTGTCAGATTTTTTATGTTTTTTGGTCGGCTTCGTGTTAGCTATAACGAATATGATTGGTTACCCTTTCAAGTTTCAAGTGATGTATGCAAATATTGAATGACCCTGGGTTAAAAATATTTTTGAAATACTATTTTTTTTATTTATTTATTTATATAGTAATCTTTTTTTTTTTTTTCTTTGTAAACCTTATTTATATAGTAATCTATATTCGATATTTATTACTTATTTTTTGTTCTTTCTTTCTTTCTCCTTGGTCAATGATGAAGAACATATATATTGATCTTCATTCTTAAAATCTAGTTATGTATTAATGACGAGTAACGTTATCTTTAAAAATGGATAAGGAAATAGGATTGACATAAAAAGGAAATAATGCATTAGTCAATATGCATAAATTTGTTGTAAAACAAGAAAAGGAAAAGAAGATACTGTACATTATTATCCAAAGTATTAGATAGGAAATTACATATCTACCGTACTCAATTTTAAAAATACAGTTTCAAAGGGTAAAATTGGTGAACTATAGAAGTTTGGGTATTAGTGCATCAATTCGGAAATTTTGGGTGCATTTGGAAAATTTAAATAGTAATTTTGCCGTTAAAAAAAAAAAAATAGTAATTTTAAAAAGACGGCGTCGTTTAAGCCACACACGTCTCAGTCTTCATCTTCTTTTCATAACGGCCTGAGCTTGCAAACACCGGCGAGAAGATTCTTAATGAGGACCTGTGCTTACGAACGCGAGCGAGACAAGAACCTTAAATTTGGCGTTGAAGGTTAGGGATTTCTTATATTAATCAATCTTTTGGTACAGCAACATCTCTGTGAGGCTCTTCTCTTCCTTGTTTCGAGAACCAATGCATTTGGGCGAGAAAGGGATCTAATTTTTAGGATTTATCATTAGTTTGGTCGTGATATCGTGTATCCCAAGTTCCTGGCGAGTTTATAGTTTCTCTTAGGATTTAGGGTTTATGTGTCATGTCAAGCTTGTTATACTGCCGACGGTTTTGTCCGATTAATTCTGGAGACTCTGTGTCCATTTCGCAATTTCTCACTCATAAGCTAATAAGGTGTCTGCTGAGTAGAACATTGTGTTCAGTATCAGAAAGGAAAACAGAGGTTGCCAAAGAGAAGAGACCATGGTTAAAGTCCTTTACTGTCTCATATCTCGTGAATTCATGTGGGTTGTCTTTGGAATCTGCTAAGTCAAAGTCAAGATTCGTAAAGTTGTCATCTTCAGAAAGACCAGACTCTGTACTCACATTGCTCAAGAACAGTGGCTTCACCAATGAGCAGATCATCAGGGTTGTCAAATCATTCCCTACTATTCTGATTGTGAACCCAGAGACTGTACTCTTACCAAAGCTCATGTTTTTCCGATCAATCGGGTTATCGAGCTCTGATACCGCGAAACTCATCTCAAATTGTCCCACAACACTGTCCCTTAGCTTGACTAACAGGCTGATTCCTTGCTATGATTCCCTCAAGAGCATACTCGGCGAGCAAGAAAATGTCCTCAAATGTTTGAGACGTGGATATTGGATTTTCACATTGGACACTACAAAGTACTTGGCTACACGGCTATCTCTCTGTCGAGATCTTGGAGTCCGGGACCAAAGCATCAAAGCACTGGTCCAAAACGGTCCACTTGTGTTCTTCTGCTCCGAGAGAAAGTTCAACGAGGTCCTGAACAGAGTTCGCGATTTTGGTTTTGACCCGAAAAAGATGTATTTCATTCATGCTATGTTAGTTTTCTTTCATGTTAGTGAATTCACTGTGGAACACAAGTTTGGGCTGTACCAACAATATGGTTGGTCCAAAGACGATTGCGTGGCAGCATTCATGAGATTCCCAAACTGTGTGAAGATATCAGATGGGAAGATTACGGGAACCATGGATTACCTCGTAAACAATGTGGGTCTCCCTCCTGGTGCCATTGCTATGCAACCTTTTGTTTTGGGTTTGAGCTTGGAGAAGAGAATCAAACCAAGGAACATGGTGATCTCTGAGCTTCTTGCTAAAGGCTTGGTGACGAAAGAAGATTTGAACTATTTCCAGATTCTTAAGATTAAAGATTGTGTGTTTGCGGATAAGTTTGTTCTTAAATTTCAGCAGGTTTCTGCTCTCCAGTCATGCCTTTGACAGAAAAGATACATCATCAATTTTTGTTATCTTAGTCTTTTTTTGTTGTTGTGAATGATGACATTTACTACATTGTCATCTGTTTTTTGATTGATGCTGTGAAAATCATAATGTTAATCATGTCAAAAAAATTTACTTCTAATGACACCAAAGCTTATTATCTTTATGGATTGTGTGCCTCTTCAGACTTCAAGACTCTTATGAAATTTTGATAACTATTTGTTGCATACGGTTAACCAAAGGGCTTGTTCTTTGTACCTCTGCATTTTTCAGATTATGGTCAATTAGGCTTCGAGACTTGCAGGATGTTTGCTTAGTGCCAAACTTTGAATTCCACAAAACTGCAAAGAGAATTCTTCTCCGTTTTCTTTGTAGACTTATTTAGTTCGTTAATTCTTTAAGTTTGACTCTTATCTGTTCATTTGCTTTGACATTTTTTTGCAGAACATCTCTATTTGATTTACAATATTTTGAAATAGTTGTCAAATGTTTTCCGGAAAAGTAACTCTGAAAATCTAGATTTTGGTCGATGAAAATGTTTTTCCAGTTTTCAGTTTTGCTAACTAGGTCTGGCAATCAGGTATGCCCACCAATATTGCTAAATTGCTCATTGCATCATTCATATGCTTAGCTATAAATAAATAAACAAAAGTCTTATAATTATGATGTGTGTACAAAGTTTTTATTTTAGTTTAGTGTAAGGAATTATCAAGAAGCAGCTACAGACTCGGAGAGTTCTTCCATGAGCTCCTTTTGCTCCAAAGCAGCACAAGCCTGCAAGAATTATACAAACATTCTTTAAGATTCACATTACCTAATAAAAACGTAAAAACATAAGTTTAAGGTTTAGGACCTGCACTGCATCCTCTAAGGCACCGTCAAGAAATGATGTAAGTGCAAAATTCATCTTAAGCCTATGATCAGTCACTCTACTGTCCTGTAATTTTCAGACATCATAAGCAAAACAGAATCCATCATATTTTCAAAGCAAGGCTCTGAATCCGTGTATTACCTTATAATTGTATGTTCTTATCTTTTCTGAACGAGCTCCAGTCCCAACCTGTTTCCGCAAGAATCGACATATAGCAGAATAAGATGAATATTTGATGATGAACTTGAGTTTAGAAAGACTGTGGGCATAGTAAAATGAAGTGGACCTGAGATTTCCTTTCATTCCTTATCTTCTCTTGTTGTTCCCTTACTTTTATTTCATACCTATATATAGAAATATAATGCATCAATAAGAAAAGACTAAGGTGGGACTTGATAGAGGAAGAAGAAGAAGAAGAGCAGAGAGTTTGCTCCTTGAATGTTGCTTACAGTTTTGCTCGCAGAAGCTGGAAAGCACGAGCCTTGTTTCTAATCTGAGTCCTTTCTTCTGTACAGAAAATGCGTATACCTGACGGTTTGTGGAATAGATCTATAGCCGTCTCCACCTTGTTCACATTTTGCCCTGCACCAAGACCTCTTTTCAGTATTACTAGCAATTAAAATGTGAGAGAAACATAAAGCGAATTTCTTTAGCATAACCTCCAGCGCCGCCAGATCTTGCAGATGTAAGTTCAATGTCCTTTGGATCAATCACCACTTCCACTTCATCAGCCTACAATAACAAAGACACAAAGCAGAGATGACAGTTTTGGACTGGTTACCAAGTTTCAATTAGAATATCGAAAAAAGGAACATGCGAAAGCTAGTTTACCTCTGGCATGATGGCTACAGTTGCTGTAGAAGTGTGTACACGACCCTGTGTTTCTGTTTGAGGAACACGCTGGACTCGATGAACACCAGATTCATATTTGAGTTTGCTATAGACACGATTTCCTTTAATCTCCATCACACACGTCTTGTAACCTCCATGTTCAGCCTTATAAAAGTAGGAAGATTATGCTCTACTGTACTTGTCAGTACACACTCCTTAAATGCCAAAAAAAAAAAAGACACAGAGCATCTCACCTCTGAGCATGAAACCATAGAAAACTTCCAAGAGCTGCGCTCGCTGTACCTCTGATACATACGCACCTGCAAGCAAGAGAATAATGCAAAGCAGATTGATTCATTGTAGGATCTGAAGTTTTAATTTATTGCACTTGCTTCTCTTAGCCATGATCTATAGGAACAATCACATTTGAAAGTTTTTATGATATAGGATTGAAACAAAATGGTGAATTACCATCAGATTGCGTTTTTTCATATAAAAAACTCGTAAGAATTTTCCGATCAGAAGGCATTAGAATCAGATAGATGAGCAGAAGAAATAAAGGAAAGCATGTACCTACAAGGTCACCAGTCCAAATTGCAGCTTCATCGCCACCAGTTCCTGCTCTAACTGTGGGAGGAACTAGAATTTCAGACTCGTCCAGAAGTAGAAAAGTATAACAATGTCGGGTAAGTCCGAGCAAAAGGCGGTTTTTCAAGAAGAAAAAAAGGCTAGTGTAGACAAATGATACTACTTGTCAACATATAGTTTAGTCAGCTACCTTCGAGCAATATGTTTCTGGCATCAAGAGGATCAGAAGGAAGAAGTAACACCTGACACAAGCAAACACAAAGTTACAACTTGAGGATCAGAATGAAGAGGGAAAACGGGCATCTTCAATTTTTTAAAATCAGCAACTGCTGAATAACGCGGCTATGGAACCAAGTCCAAAGGAATTGCCTGTTAAATGCTGAAGGAAAAGGGTCTAAACCTTAAGCTGTTTCTCAAGCCCCTCAATTTCTATAGAGAGAGAGTTGATTTCACTTCCTATCATTTCAGCCATATCTTCATCATCTCCAGCCTCTTTCGCCAAAACTGAAGCAAGAAAACAATCACAACCAGCTTCCGAGGAACAAAATCAAAGCAAAGTAAAAGAAAGGAGGAAACTTGAAGGGACCTTTGCTTTCTAGTAACTGCTTCTCACAGTCCTTGAATCTTCTGAAGACTGTTACAACCTAAAATTGAATTCAATGTTAAGAAACCCCGAAAAAAGCTGCAAATTTTGAAGACTAAAAGAATGTGCAAATACCTCGTCAAGCTCCGACATGGATTGTGCCAGTTTTTGGTATTCAGATTGATTCGAAACAACAGCTGGGTCAGCTAGTTTTACCTACGAGTAATTCGAAACTCTTAAGATTGAGATTAAGAAACAAACCCAGAAGTTAAAGAACATACCGATAACTCCTTCCATGTCTTCTCCACAGACTCCATTTTCCTAATGAGGTAAGGTTCCTAATATTCCCAACATACAAATCATCGAACAATTGTAAGCAAAATCGAACATTGGGACTACTAAAATCACTTACGGCCATACAGACGAGTCGTCGAGTCCTGCGAGACGGAGAAGGCGGCCACGAGACTAGACATACTCCAGCCGGTGGCTGCCTAGAACGTAAAGTGAATGGTGACGAGTGAAGATGAAGGAAGGCTCGAGCCGTTGGACTCGTAGTCATCGAGCTATTCATTGTCTAGAGTCTAGAGAGGTGGAAGAAGACGAGTGGCGCGGGAGTTGCTGCTGGATAAGGAAGCCTTTAGATGAAGAGACGCGTTTGGCTATTAGGACAAAACTATCCTCGACATTAAGTAAGAAACCCTTTTATTTATTGGGCCTTTAAGCCCATTATAATTTACATTCTCGGTTTCACCTTGTTAGTAGCTCCATGGCCCAAAGGATGTGAAGTCAAAACTGAAACTTCTGATACATCCGGAAGTTTAGTTTTCATTAAATAAAAAAAATCAATCTAATCGGTGACTCAATTTCATCTCTTCCTCCGGCGACGATGTCGATTTACAGGATCGCTAGAGCCTTACCCTTCTCCGGGATCTTAAGGTTCCTCCATTGTTTTCTTCTCTTCCTTGTATTACTGCGATAATATTGAAGAATTGACTGATAAAAAGAAGAGTTTTTTCTGTCGTTTCGATTACAACTTTTAGGTTGGGTAATGCTTGCATCATCTTTCTCCGTTTAACAAGAGATTGTATATCGATTTTTGTGCGTTTATGTTGACATACTAAGGTTTCATTTTACAGGCAGCTTGAGCAAGAAGCTGAAACTGTGATCAATGTTCTGCAACCTGGACCTTTGGGAATCATAGAGCACAAGTTCTCGGCTCAAGAGATTCGAGAGGCAAAAGCTACAGTTTCTAGAGCAGTTGATAATTGGCGAAGACATTCTGAGGTTGAGCATGCAAATGGCCTTTTAAAAGATTACCTTTACAAGTGAAGAAGTGAGTAAAAATCTCTACTTTTGTTTTCTTCTTTGTGTTCATGGCTGATGATGAATAAAGGCCTTTCATTTTGTTGAACAATCTTTAGAGCTCAATGAAAAAGCAAATCTTTCTCTTTTATTGCTGATAAGTCTTCTTAGCTTACATTGATTGATATAACAAGTATGGTAACTGAGAATACAAAGTTCTTGATCTTAGCACTAGACTTGTGTAAACTACAGAGTTGCACTTGTTGAAAACATATCCGTGCATGGTAGAGACTCCAAACCCGAAAATTTAAGAAGAAGCAAAACAACTATATATCATTCTCATCTTATTCTATCCTAGTTTGCATTTGGACTCTCTTGTCTTCTGTTACACCCATATGGCTCCGGCTCTTCTTAGCAACGCGGCCAGTTGGTTCTTGACATGAAGAGTCATTACCTGGTTAGCACCACCGATTAACTGTTGCCCTATGAACACAGCTGGTACACTTGGCTTACACCCCATCTGTACCAATGCCTTCTCGATCTCCTGACCGTTTGAGAATTGGTCTAGCTCGTAGACTGTCATCTTCGCCCCAAACCCTGAGATCAGTGTTTGAATTGAGTGACTCATGCAGCAAGAGCTTTTGCTGAATATCACCACTGGTTTGTCTGCAACTAAACTTCCAACGCTTTCCATTTTGATGTATATAAAAATGTGATACAAATGTAGGACTTAGTGTGACTGTGTGAGAGGGAACTCAAGGATCTTTATGTTTGTTTTTGCTTTGGTGCTACACAAAGTAAGCCTATTTATAGAGTTGGATACGTGGAGGATGTTAAGATTGCATAAATCAGATCTTTGTCACTTACTTTACTTCCCTCCTAGTGATCTGCCCTTTGGCGTTCTCTAAAAACTGCATGAACTTAGATTCTTTCGTTTTTTTGATATCAGATCCAAGTTGCATATACAGTTCATGTAAACTCTATAGTGCTTTTCTTTTTTCGGCAAAATCTTTTGCTTTTGATGCATCCACTGAGGTGGAGATTGGATTATGGATTATCCAGTTAGATGCTTATCTTTTCAAGCAACCATAGATTTCCCACAAGTTTCAGGCTCTAAAGAAACGGAAAGCAAGAAAAACAAACAAAAAGGATCGTCTTTGAGATACTTTTCTGCTTGTGTGACTAGGAGTCTATAGAGCAAGTAAGTGATCCAACACAGTTCTTACTTTAGCTTTTACACTATTGTCAAAACCATTTTTCGAGTTTGAATCACAACTTATCTAAATGTGAGAAGTTGGTCTTAACTTTTAAGAGTCTATGTTGTTGTTGTTGTTGTTGTTGTTGCATTGACTTATGACTTATGAGGAAGAGAATCCATGTTCATTGCGTTTTCAACCTTCCAAAAATACAAAATTTAAGCAGAATTTAACAGGAAAGCATGATTCTGACACCAGATTTGGAAATCTACAGAAATGAAGAATCTTTGGCAGATTCGTGATAAGGCCATGTGTCGATTGAATTAGCAAAATTTATGGGTGATAATAAGCATAGATTCGTCATAATTTTCTTCTTTTGGTGATAAAATCTCAAGATTCGGAAGGAACAACTTGTGTACGTTAATATTCCTTTCAGAACTCGAGAACTGTCTCTGCCAAATTGGCTCGCAAACTTGTTCAAAGGTCATATGTTTCTTCGAGTCATTTTCTCCGTACAACATTCGTGTTGTGTAATGAAAAACCTGGAACTGTGTAGAAATAGATTATGCTTCGCCTTGTAACCAAATCAAAAACTGAAGTTACAGATTGGTTCTCTCTCAAATCCAACAAACATTAAAGAAGAAAGATTTTCAGTAAACTTTTGATACAAAAGTACTTTTCTTATAGCTTGAGATAAAGTTCATCATCCGGTGATGTTGTGGACGAGCACCACGGAGTTATAATGCTCCCCGAGCCCAAAAGCATGTCGGTGATACGATAACAAGAGACTCGAGTCATCGCCGGATTTATACTCTTTGCCCATTTCAACGTCTGGAAACGACCCAGAATACACCTTTATGTGTTTCCTCAAGCAATGTGTTAACGCTCCAAGCTCCAATTGACTGCCCCAAGCCGCGGTTGACTCGACTTCTCTGCAGTATTTCTCAAACCGCTCTTCTGCAGATCCACTGTTGGAGTCGCCCTCAGTCTCTGACAAGAAAAACGGGAGAAAATCGGTTTTGTGCTCTCTCATGTACGAAGCAGCCATTTCTCTTAGGTTCTGGTATGTGTAAGGAGATGCACCGCCTGAGCGATTGGCAAGCTGATTCTCAACAGCCCGGTAAAGGCAATGTCCGTCTGGTTTTATCTCATTGATTGTTAATCCCAATGGTTTAAGCTTCTTCTCAAGCTTTGCGTTCTCGACCACACGATCACTTGTCACTTGGCTTTGCTCCTCTTTGATTCTCTGCTCTCTATCTGCTTCTTCCTTAGCCCGTTTCTCGCGCCTCTTCACGCTCTTGCTGGGCTTTGAGTGCTCTTGTTGAGCAGTGACTGAGACTCCAGCTATAGCTCTGACTAACGTGTCGATGTCTCCTTTTTTCTCATTCGTTTGGTCCTTGGCAACGGTGCTGCTGCTGCTGCTAAAACCTTGAGAGGCGAGTTCTTTCAACTGTTTCTCCTTGAGCTTTGAGGAAAGTTTGGAAACGTCTTCTTCGACTTGCTTCTTCTTAGCTTTTTGTTCAGCTTTGCTACCTTTTGCGGCTACCTTCTTCATCTCTGTCTCTTTGTTCTGAAGTTGTTTAATCTCTTGCCTACAATAAACAACAACATTTAGAATCACTTAAGAGAAAGAAGCATTGTCAATTATCCAAAGAAAGCATAACGATGCTGTTACCTGTGGCGAGCAAGCATCTCATCAACTGTTTCATGTTGCTCCTGAGAAGCATCAATGGGGGTTTCTTGGGATACACTATCTCCAGATGCCATTTAAGAAGCCTAAATAAATAGAAGAAGAAGCTAAAGAAATCTGTCAAGACAAGGAATACCACAAACCCAGTTATCTAACACGTAATTTGGTTTAGACTTCAGACACATTCAAGACTAAGTTGGCTTTAAGACAACAACAACACTTAGCATAAATCCAAAGTACACAATAACTCTAGAAACCAGACCAAACCCGTTTTCCAATTCAATATTCCACCAAACTTACTGATACCTACCACTAAAGGATATACAGAACCAAAACAAAACAAAAAAAAAAGTTGATGCAGCAGATGACAAGGGATTTTCTTTCTTCGTTCATCTATAAGAGAAATCTAGAGCTTCAAAATTCAAGTTGAAGTAACTGGTTCGATTATCAAATAATGAAATAAAAAAACGCGAGAGAGAGGTTCCGAGTTCATACCTTTGATCCAAAGGAGAAGAATCCAAGATTAGTGATTTATTTAGGGTTTACGCTTCAGGCGACAAAAGCAGCAAAAATTAATAATTAAAAAAAAAAAAACAAAAATGAGGAAAATGGGCTACTGTCGAGAATGGTCGTAGATTGAATTTATTGGGCCCAAAGGCCTATCAAAGCGAGTCTTGTGGGCTTTCTTAATCCATCGGACCCTCTCTGTCGGTTAGAAGTTTGTAGAGAGGTTCGAAATCAATCACTTTAATTTTTTATATTCTCGCAATCATCGTTACCGTGATTTAACTTATCGAATCAGTGTAAATATTCCTGGGATAGGGATTAAGTGAGAGATTTAATTTTACCCTTACTTATATTTTCTGTTGAATTTCTGTTTGATCTTTTCGTTCAATTAGTTTCTACGTTGCCCTATTTCACTCGAGTTTGTTTAACTCGTTTAAAAGCTTTGTTTCAAAGGAAATTATGTTTTCCGTTGGCTTTGTTCTTGGGAAGTTTATTTCCAATGTTGTATGTTTTTTACCTTTATTCAATAAATAAAATATCCAGATGACAAAAAAAAAAAAAAAAAAAAAACTTATCGAATCAGTGAGGAACCTAAATCTTGGGCAAGTGGAGATCATATATTATTCTGTCAACGCTTTGGTTATTAAAAAGGAAAAAAAAAAATCTAATCGATAAATCTATGGACGGTCGATATTGTGACCTAAAAATATAAATATCAGAAACTTATGTACAATGTAATGTACATACATACTATGATTATACATGAGGAGGTACCCGCCAGGTGGTTTCGATTTTCCGACGATTGGAAAGATAATTATCTAGCATATATATATATATATATATATATATATATATATATATATATATATATTAGGTGAAGATATTTATAAGAATATGAAATCAAGTGAAAGAACAAAAAAAAGACGAAAATTATTAATATGTTTTGTCTAAATATCGATTCTCGTATGGCCAAGTGGAGAGTGTCTTAAACTGTAGTTTTAGTTGCTAAAGCATATTGGCCATAAATTCTTGGAAAGGGCAAGTCCCATTGAAGAAGATACTAAAATGTTTGTAGTTTTATTGCGTTCTTTTTATCAAATCTTCAAATCTTAATTAGTCTACTCATGAATTCAATAGCATTAATGATTTATACGTTAAACGAACAATGGGACAATAAACAGTATAGTGACGGAATAACATAAACTAAATGAATAATTCTGTAACTGGTTTCAAATCATAGTTAATTATGTTAATGAAACAACTAGTATTAGCTAGGATGGCATTTTGCATGGTAAACATAGTTTGAAACCGGTATCTAGATGGCTACAACCATCTACCGGTATCTAGATGGCTACAACCATCTCTAAGGTTCTTTTCATAATGTCAACCCAATAAATTCAATAAAATAGTTGTATTTTCGATTTCGATATTAGTATGAGAAAGAAGGAATATATATCCAATGGACCAATGGGTTACAGTAGAAACAAGACAACTAGGCGACACATGGATTAGTATCTTCATTTGCACACACACATTACATATCATCATATATGCAAAGAATAACTTTCATTACATATTCCTATACGATCGAGCACATATATATATTATCTAATGCATATGAATGTATTTGTGGAGTGGGGTCAGATGTGGATAATCTTCTTATCTCAGATTTTTTTCCATGTCAAAGATGACGCAACAGTCACCACTCACCACCAAATCCCTGCGCTTTTTTTTTTCCTCTTTGCATACACTTTACTTTTGACATTTTAAAACTGTTTGTGTTTTTTGTTATTTTAAATGTAACAACTATGAAACATAATGCATAGACCATTTAATAATTGTTTAATTGTTAATCATTTATCATATACATTTGATCCTCTTACTAAATTCATGCATCTATAGATTTTGTCGTCCACGTTCAGTGCCAACATATACGAGATGATTTTGTCTAGAAATGGCATTAATCTTTTTCAGGTAATTAGACTTTATAATATAAATACAATAATGTCAACTACATTATGTCATGAGTATCTTTATTATCAGCAAAACGCATCAACTATCCTCTTTTTGTTAATGCCACATTACAGAAAATTATTAACCTTCCACGTTTCCACTATAGAAAAATGGGAATAAGATATAAATTTATAAAAATTAATGTTTTGGGTACGTGATGCTACTGCCAGCCACCGACCGAAAGGTTATATAATTCATCTCTCTATTATTTTCTTACTGATGTTGAAATATCTTACAACTTTTAATCCCATCTCTACTATAAATCCATTTCAAAAGTAAAATTACAAATTAAATAAATAGAAACAAGTGTCTCCATCACACGAAATCATCAGGTAAGCATTTTTTCTTATCCAAAATTATATCACAAAGAACTTAGCTTCTTTCTAGGAAATTTTGTTTGTGGGGCACTTCAATATATATAACAATACAAATTTAGTGTGGGGTATATCATTCATATATTTATCCATAATATCTTTGTAGAAAGAAAATCCCACAAATAAAATAATCCAAAATCTTCCACGATAACCATTATAAATAACAGCTGATCCAAGCATATGTTCAACACAACCTAAGCCTTTCTCATTACAAAAAACAAAACTTAGTTACGAACTTTCTTGATCATCGCAAATGGAGAGAATAAGAGATTTGTCGTCGAAGAAAGCGGCGGTGATATTCACAAAGAGCTCATGTTGCATGTGCCATAGCATCAAGACGCTATTCTACGAACTAGGCGCTAGTCCGGCAATCCACGAGCTCGACAAAGACCCCGAAGGCCGCGAAATGGAGCGAGCCCTACGTGCCCTTGGCTCATCGAACCCGGCGGTTCCAGCTGTTTTCGTTGGAGGAAGGTACATCGGATCAGCCAAAGACATCATCTCATTCCACGTCGACGGGTCGCTCAAGCAGATGCTTAAAGACGCTAAGGCCATTTGGTTATAGCGTCCGATCATCGTACATGTATGTATATATCTATATGTATATGTATGCACATGTAATTGTGTCAATAATCGAAGTGCTAAAAGCGCATATATGATATATATAATCGGGAAGGAGCATAGATGTATTAAAATGCTTTGCTTCCTTCGCGTGGAGGTTATTGTATAATAAGTTATATACATGTATAGATGTATATATGTATGTTGAGTCACGTACGTACATTGTACGGATGAAAAGACAAGTGTACATTTAAGCACTGTTGTAACATTAGTGTAGAATTCCACGTAATTAATTAAGAGTAAACTCAAATCTTAAAATCGTCATTCGTTAAAATACTACTGAATTAAGATTAGTATTTTTTTTTTGTTCTTTCAACTTTTTTTGGTATCTAATATGTTCTCTTACAAAGACATCAGTTGGAGCAATTTACACTTAGGGGAGATTAGTATTATTGTACTGACGAATGAATATAGAGTTAATAGCTAAGTATGGTATGATGATTTGATAGATCGACGACGTGACAAGACAAAGGATGTTTATCAAGAACGAATTATTCACGTAGGTGAGTACTATAGGTTCCCTTATCTTTGGTGAATCGAAAAAGGGAGAATCTTATACACTTCAAAAGCTTCCACCCATAAGTCATCGGAACATGGAACAACTCTAACTAAAACATGTGGCCACCGTGAAAATTCACGTTGCATTCCAGAATAAATTTTATCGAGTGAGTGAGATCAATTTCAAAAATGTTTAATTATATCTAACCATCATTTAGTAACGTAAAAATCTCCCCTAACTATGTTTCAACCTCTAAAATCATTATGATGCTTAGTACATATATAATTACAAGTACAAACTAAACTTTTGCAATTAGCTATTAAAGTCTCTACGATACATAAAATATGGTTGAGTAAACACATTTTGCAATCCTCTATGAAAACGATGTTGGAGATACAATCCAAGTCCCACATCGGAAGTTTGATGGGACAATCAATAATATATAAAGGGTTAGGGCCAATCCACTAATTGCCAATTGGTTTTTAGTTGGAAGCCCAGAATTAGCCCAAATTTAACATGGTATCAGAGCCCAAGGTTCAAATTCTGGTGGACCTAGAAAAGTGGATACGGACATACCTCAAACCCGAGTAATGGGGGCCCGAGAAAGGCGCTTATTATCGGTCCGAGTGAGGGATCGAGGAGGTGTGTTAAGATCCATGTGGTCCTTGGATTGAAGGGGAGATTGTTGGAGATACAATCCAAGTCCCACATCGGAAGTTTGATGGGACAATCAATAATATATAAAGGTTAGGGCCAATCCACTAATTGCCAATTGGTTTTTAGTTGGAAGCCCAGAATTAGCCCAAATTTAACAAACGATACATACTAGCAATCGGTCTACCATTCTACATATATATATATATGTAGATATGTCCCTGTTGAGAGACGGCAAGAGCAGAATCAAACATGAGTGTAAGTGTGAGATAGACAACGAATATTTGTCTTAAGCAAGTTGGTGGTAGGGGCACACAATTAATAAGGGAATACTCACTACATATTACATATAATTGATAGATATATTATCACCGAAAGCTGAAATCCTGGTGTTGGTTTATTCATTCTTCTTTTTAGCCTAAGGATATATTATTTACTCAATGTATAGTGAGGTCTAGCTAGGGAGAATCGGGCTTTGATAAATTGACAAGCCCATATTGCTTCTTCTGCAGTATTTGGCTTTAAAATCATGTCTATTATTTGTTGGTATATCAAAGCATATTTATCAAAAGTGAAATACCTTTGAATAGCTGTGAAACAAGTTATACGGACAATTATAACGGATACTCCAGAAATTTCCAAATTAGCATTAGTTAGTAACTATTTTATCCTTGCCTAACTATATAAAGTAATAAAACTAATTACAATTTGAAATCAAAATTATAATACGATCGCATGTAGCGTCAATCAAATGCTTATATTAAATTTTTAATATTAAAATTGTGTTATTTTTGGGACTTTGGAAATTGTGTGCTAAATTTTGTAACAAAAGCTATTTGAGAATTGCCCTATTTAAAAAAAAACTATGTAGTGACCAATTATTTATCCATTGAATAAAATGAAAATCACTCCTAATTGTCGTTTCTGTTAATTGACGTTCATATGGACGTTAGCTTGTACCTAAAGTAAGGGACACAAACATGCATTCGCTATATGCTTTTCGTTGGTCTCTTCAAAATCCTATAATCGACAACATATGTAAATTATTTTCTGCGTGATTAACGTACTGATCTTAATATGTTTATATTCGTCATAAAAAGCGTAGGACACATCCATTATACGGCCCATGTGCTAAGTATTCATGAAAACACTCGCGTAGCTTCACTCGCTTGTCATGAGATTCTGTAATGGGAAACTGTTCATTTATCTATCTGACACAGAGATTCGAAGTCGTTAACCTCTCGAGTCTCGAATCGTATGCTTGATTTACTGTTATCGTACCATTTTTCAATTTTATAGCTTCAAAATAAATACTCCCTCCGTTCCTAGATATTTGATGTTCTAGAGTTTTAGTTTGTTCCACAAAGTTTGATTTTTTAGATTTTTGTTTTATTTTTTATTGATTAAAATTAATATATCGTAAACTTCAAGACGTAATGATTAACTGTTTTCTAATACTATTGGTTCAAAGTTTTTAAAAAATGTTTAGTATAAAAAAGTAATTGATTAATAATTAAATAATGATTGTTTCTTAATATATGTGAAAACTCTAAAACATCAATCTTTTAGGAATAGAGAGAGGAAGAGAAATCATTTATTTGTTTGAGAAAAAAAAAAAAAAATCATTTATTTATTACAACTTGTTCAGCCAAAACAGAACATTAACAAATGGTCTTTTTCTCGCAAAGCTGCTTTAATTCTTCGGAGGGAATCTGAATTTTTCTTTAATTATTTCCTGTTCAAAGAAAAAGCGACCAGTCCAAAGACTTTCACTACTTGCCTTCCTATAAATAGCCCAAGCAGATCATCGAGTCTTCTAACGAACAAAAAAACATACACTAAAGCTACATATTCTTTAAGATACATAATTTCTCGATTGTCCTGAGCCCTCAGATCAAAATCTGACCATGGACAAGGTGATGAGAATGTCATCGGAGAAAGGAGTCGTAATCTTCACGAAAAGCTCATGCTGTCTCTGCTACGCCGTGCAAATCCTTTTCCGTGACCTTAGGGTTCAACCAACAATCCACGAGATCGACAACGATCCTGACTGCCGAGAGATTGAGAAGGCCTTAGTTCGTCTTGGCTGCGCCAACGCGGTTCCTGCGGTCTTTGTAAGTGGCAAGCTCGTGGGTTCGACCAACGATGTCATGTCGCTTCACCTAAGTGGCTCTCTCGTTCCCTTGATCAAGCCGTATCAGTCATTTCATAACTAGAAAAACAATCGATGCATAAGAAAGATAATTAGTATACGTTAATTGGATAGTGAGAATAATGATGGAAAGATATCACGTAAATGTGTATCAGGTTCTTATTTATATCGAGTTTAGCTTATGTCTAAGAAATTAATTAGCTAGCTTTGTATTTCCAGCTTAACTAATCGGTGGATGTACTGATCTATGTGTGTTATCTATTTAATGGAAAAATTATTGATCAAATGTTATACTGTATTTCGTTTTAATTTTTGCCTTTCTTATAATACTAATCGACTATTATCACGTTTCTGAATGAGCTTAATAACATTAATCTGGAGGTCGTTTATAATGATATCGAATGAAAAATAGGAGGTCGTTTATAAATATTTCTATGTTTCAAACGAAATGTGTCTAGTGAGTATATTAAGATATTTAAATATAGGTCCACAAATATGATAAACCAAAGAGACCATGACATTTTCCCAACCCCTAGCTTTACAAGTCACAATGACTCGGTAGAAGAAGATCTCGAGCGGTCCAATATCAAAATCCTAGAAGTGTTTATTTTTCCATCTACCTCTCAATCTCATATTACAAAATACGTAAGAACATGTATGAATATTGAATCTGACGACTACAAATAAGTGTTATGTTTTAGGAACAGTTATTCATTTATTCTCCATGCTCACTTTATATCATGATAACGAAGCACACAATTCTCTTTCATCTTCTTTTTTTCATAATCTTTTCGATTTTCATTCGTAAACTACTAGTAAGATGACTTTGAAAATGGAATTGCTCTTGCACAAACAAACACCAATAATTTCTATCAGAATTCGACAAAAATATATATATGAAATAAGAAAACCAGAGTTATGTATAAAAACCTATCGATCGAGATGAATAAAAAACAAAGCATAAGTAGTATTATACTTTAAGGTGATAGATGATTGGTGGCAAAAAAAAGGAAAGGGAAAAGGAGGAATAGCTAGGGGGGCTTTGCAAGATGTGTGGAATAGCTTTACTTTAACTTCCGAGTTGTTTGGGAGAATCTAATTGTAATTGGTAAGGAAGGAAAGTCTAGTCTTTTTATGGACGTGTAACAACTACCTTCACTTCCTGTCTCTGTCGGATCCAAATATTCTCTGACTGGCGCGTGATAAAAGCATACCCACTTCTCTCTCTCTCTCTTCGTATCTCATCACAACACATCCACGATCCAACAATTTACGTAGCTATGATCTCCTAAACGTCCCATTTTTACAAAAATTAATCGACCGTCTAATTAACTTTCTACACGTTTTTAAAGTTCATTCATGGCAACGTAAACAACAAAGTGTGTTTTTTTTTTTTTTTTTTTTTTTGTTATCCGCCGGTTAATGAAGGAATGGGGAACATCCAATAATAAATTTACACGTGTATATATTAATGGGTTTAGGCCGGCCGACTCTGTAATTAGGTTGGAGCTGATCATGAACCCTAATTAATAGATTCCCGATGGGTAGTGGTGCTAGTGCTAATCACCAGTCAGACTCGATGGAAGCAGCAGATTCTTCGATTCCCAGAGACAAAGACTTTGGCAAATTCCAATTCGGGTTATTATCTTCCTTCGATTCGATTGATTTCTGGGAATCTCTCTGATTCCTGATTTTCTTCTTTGTTTCTCTGTTATCGATCAGATGCGAGCACTACAAGAGACGATGTAAAATCAAAGCTCCTTGCTGCAATCTCATCTTCCCATGCCGCCACTGCCACAACGACGCTGCGGTCCCCTCTCCTAATTTGCTAGTTTAATCAAACAACGAACCTTGCTCTCTCTAGTCTTTTAGAACATGCATGCTTTTTTTCTTGTTTCAGAATTCTTTATCTGACCCTAAAGAACGACATGATTTGGTCCGCCAAAACGTCAAACAGGTTTGATTAAAACCACACTCTTGTGTTTCAATCTCTCTTAAGGTAGTATATAAGGAAATTGGATTCTCTGTGTTTTGTTTTTTCAGGTTGTTTGTTCAATATGTCAAACTGAGCAAGAGGTAGGTTGATGATTTTTATTCTTTATCTGCAAAAATTCTTTTTCACTAATTCATATTTATTTGGGTAATCATCCTGACTACAAAATTTTAGGTTGCCCAAGTCTGCTCGAATTGTGGCGTCAATATGGGGGCATACTTTTGCGATATCTGCAAGTTCTTTGACGACGATGTGAGCTTTGGATCCTTTCATTCTATATGTGATTATGTTTCAACTGCTATGAGTCACTTTGTTGGTTCCTGAAAGTATCTCGCCGTTGTTATGTTTGCAGACCTCGAAAGAACAGTTTCATTGTGATGACTGTGGAATTTGTAGGTGAGGTGTTTGAGATATAGACATCTTGTGCTACGTAACAGTCATATTTTTAGCTTAATCTTGTGGTCTTTATTAATTTTCAGAGTTGGTGGGCGTGACAAATTCTTTCATTGCCAGAACTGTGGTATGTGCCTTTATCAACTTGCATGTGTTTGATTCTGTTTTTCCTCTTTAAAGCAAGTTCTAGATACATTGGTGGTGTCTAAGATTGCGAGTCGTCTCTATCAAATGTGCTTTAGGAACATAAGAATCTATTCGACAAGTGACAATTGTAGTGTAAAATGAAATCTTTGAATTTGTTGCACATACAGGTTTTATCCTTATCGAGCTGTATTGTAGCCTTATCGAGCTGTATTGTAGCTAAGTATCAGATGTCTAATAGCCTATGAGTCTATAACTAGTTTCACAGTAAATAAATTATTTTCTCTAACTATAGAATCTTGTGTGGATAGTTATTATACAATAGTTTTAGTTATCTCATATGTTGTTACGAAACTCCCTTGTAAATATTGCAGGAGCTTGCTATGCAATGGGCTTGCGCGATAAACACTCGTGCATTGAGAACTCCACAAAAAATTCTTGTCCTGTTTGTTATGAGGTTTGTTTGAATGGAATCAATTTTGGTTGATCTCTTGTTCTATATTGTTAGTGATTACTGATTAGATTCAAAAGATCATATTGTTTTTTGGATCAACCTCGCAGTATCTATTTGATTCGGTAAAAGCCGCACATGTGATGAAATGTGGTCATACTATGCATATTGATTGCTTCGAACAAATGATCAATGAAAACCAGTAAATTCTCCATCAATCTCATTCGTTCCTCACAATATCAAATTTGGATTTCTTATAATTACCAATGTTCTCTCTCTCAGATACCGATGCCCCATTTGTTCCAAGTCAATGTTGGATATGTCTCATTCGTGGCAATTATTAGATCTTGAGGTAATAATCAACTTTTGGATTTGTTGTATTTCAATGAAGTAAAGACCAACCAACGTTCTTTTTACAGATAAGCGCAACAGAGATGCCTGTTGAGTATAACTTTAAGGTAATGTCTATAAATCCAACGTTGTGTCACCTCGTGGTTTGATTTCCTTGTGTTCATGGTTTTACATCCGCCAAGAAACTATCTGCAGGTTTCAATTCTCTGCAATGACTGCAACAAGGGGAGTAAAGCTATGTTCCACATTTTGGGACACAAGTGCGGTGATTGTGGTTCATACAACACTCGGAGAATCTCAACGCCACAAGATCCAGTGAGTGAAACAGAGTGATCATTTTCTGAAGCGAACTCTTCTTGATTGGATTTGTCCGTCATTGGTCCAACATAGAGCGATAGGGCTCGGTGTTCTGCTTGTCGCATAAAGTGATCCGGCAAAACCATTGGGTTTGGTCGGTTCATATTGAATCACAACTTTAAAGTGTGAAAAGAAATTGAATACGGTATTTATACAAACAAGACCAAATGACCTCAAACATAAGAACAAAACAATTTACATTTTTAACATAATTTTATAATCTTCCTTTCATAAAGCATATAAAACTATAAAAGACTCGGATGAGCTCTGTTTGTCGAGACATTAACAATTTCTGAGAATGTAAATTTCCATACTAATGGGCCGTATAGAATATTAATGTGCCTAGTTTTATAATGGAAAGCCACAAAGTAATGGTTTAAACGATAAAAACAAATATGAAACAAAAGCTAAAGAAGGAATCGCGCTAACAATACTCTCCCTTTCTTACCCTTTTTCCCCTTAAAGCTAAAACCAGAGTTCTTGTTCTTGCCCTAAACATTTGAAACTGAAAATATTACCGATATAAATGGTAGGCCTGGGCTTTCGGTTAACCGTTCGGTTATCGGTTGGGTCCATTCGGTTTCGGTTCTTTCGGTTTCAAAATTTAGTATCCATTCGGATATTTTGAAATTTCGGTTCGGTTTCGGTTCTTTCGGTTTTAAAATTTAGTATCCATTCGGTTGTTTTGCTTAGGATAGTTTTGGATATTTCGGTTATTTTTGAGTATTTTTGGATATTTTTGGATATATTTCGGTTATTTTTGAGTATTTTTTACTATTTTTATATATTTTTCAAGTATTTTTGATTATTTGGTCTATATATAACTAATTATTTTGAAAATATAATTGTATTTCGGGTATTTCGGTTACCCAAAATATTTCGGTTCGGTACCGATTCGGTTACGGTTATTTCGGTTATAGAATTTAGTATCCATTCGGTTATTTTCAAATTTTCGGTTCGGTTCGGTTCGATTTTTTTTGCTTCGGTTTCGGTTCGGTACATTCGGTTCGATTTATTTGCCCAGGCCTAATAAATGGTATCTGTGTTGGGCATCATGGAAAATGAAAATTTGAAAAAGCCCATGTCATATCGTTCATATAAAAAACAAAAGTTCCATTATATTGTATCCTATCACTCTGGTTTGACGATGATGCTCTTCCAAGTATCAACACAAGACCTAAAAACAGAGCAAGATTCTCTTGTTTCTAATTATGGTGATAAAGAGAGTGTAGGGACCTGAGAAGAAAGAAGTGGGTGCTGTTCCAAAACCGAAAAGGCTGCAAACAGTTCATTAAGCGGACAAAGGAAATGGCAAAGACAACAAAGAGAGAGAGAGATATCAAACAATTAAAAGGATAAAAGAGTCCCAAACAAGTAGAACAGTTACATTTTTGACATTGTCTTTTAAAAAATCTCTTATCCTCTTAAGAAAAATACCCCACCAGGATCTCTCAGTGTAAACAAACATACAACAATAAAAAATTCTTACATAAATAGAACAAAGCTCTCTTAGATCTCTCTCTCTCTCTCTCTCCACTTATTCATTGCTCATGAGCTTGATGGTTATATGAAGCAGCCGAGAATCAAATTATTGGCGACCGAGAGCTCTCTCATGTTCCTAAACCGGAACACGATTACATGGGATGATGAACAAGGATTAATGAAAAATGTACCTCGTTTATTTGTCTTATAATCCGTTAGTAGTGATGATTTTCCTGGAAACCTCATTGTTGAGTCTTGGTCCATGTTCCAGACGAAGCCAGGCATGTCAAACCGAGGACCAGCCAATGTTCGGTATATGAACACTCTCTCAACAGGGCAGCTCTCTGGTCTCGAGTCCGGTGGACCCCGTTCATCGATGACTTCCACATTCAGCTTTGGCATCTTCTGTCCTAATAACTTGCAGGCTCCAAAACTCACGGAACAAGAAGACATCCAAAGGGATCGCATTGTCTCCAGCTTAGAAGCATTGGCCAAAAGCGCCTTGTCTCCAAACTGGCAGTCCCTTATCTCTAGTTTCCTCAGGCTATCGCACCCCGACAAAACATGATGCATGCCTAAGTCACTGTCTCCTGCAAATGCCACTGAGAGCATTTCCATCTTCTTGGCATATGTCCCAATGTATTCAAAAACCTTGTCGGTCAAGAGGCCAGATAGAGAGAGGCGACGGAGATCTTTGCAGTGCTCTACGATGGCTCCAAATCCAACATCAAGTGGCTCTAGAGTCAGATAGTCTGGAGCTTTTGGCTCAATGATGCACAAACGGAAGCGAGTCATGTTGGGACGGTTCCTAGCAATGGTTATCAATGCAGCATTGGTCATTTGACGGCAGAAGTAGAGAACCGACTCGAGTTTTGGACAGCCCATGGAGACGGAGACAAGCCCCTGTTCCGTCAATGCCACATTTGGTTCCATGACAAAAGGCTCAGATGGAAACACTCTGAGCTCGCGTAGGTCCTTGCAGGTTGAAGCAAGCACCTCAAGACCAGCATCCTCGATGTAGTCAAGCACCTGTAGTCAATAATAAGTCAGATCACAGTTATAATAAGAAAACTATACCATGCTGTAAAATGACCTAGAAATTTCAAAACTCATGCGTTAAATTGTATGTTAATATGGACTCACCCAGAGGCGCTGCAGTTTTGGGCATTGACTAAGTAGCTTGACAAGATCATAGCTCTGGACTGTTGCATAACTCAGATTCAAAGTTGTAAGCCGACTGCAAACTGAATAAACAGCTGGAAGATAGGCAGGAACAGCATCCCAAAATCCAGATAAGCACTTCAAATCCTTGCATCCAGAGAGCGCTACCGATAAACCAGAGTAAACATCTGGTCGCACTTCTGCAGTGTACCCACCAGTGCCCAATTCCTCCAATTGAGGAGCTCTTTGAAGTAAAGTAGCCAATTTTTCAAGGGGAACAGCTCGGTTAAGCTTGAGAGACTTGAGATTGGGACACCTAGTCACCAACCTTTCCAGAGCAGAGAAACTGACCTCAGATGCTAAGCATGAGATATTGAGTGATACCAAAGATGTGTAAGTATCTGGGAAATGGCTAAGCCAGTGGCCACTAATATCGTCAACCTCACTCTCTCGTAAATCAAGTTCTTTCAGATTCCTGCATAAGAATCACATAATTAGCATCGAGTGACCCACATTATACAAGTTGCAGAACATAAACATTGCTACAAAAGAGACCTTAATAAATAAATAAAATCATGTGCATAATTGTGATTAAAGTTGTATTTGATACAATGTAGATAGATCACTTTGGGAAACTATATAAGCATAGAACAATAACAAATAACTAAAAAAAATCACATGGAAGCATAGTGAGAGATGCTAAAACAGAGCCAAAGAGAGGAAAGAAGGGGAATCCGAAAACAGATCTAAGTTTCCCAACAAGGTAAAAAAAGAAACCACAAAAGGAAAAGTAAAAGAAAAGGGAACACACACAAAGCCAAATTGACTAGATTTCCCACCTCAGGAGATTCACTGAGAGCGAATAATCCAGGAATAAATAGATATATACCACCGTCAAGTAAGAGATAAAAGAGTGGCTATAATAAGAATTTTCAGTAACGTGATTAAAACATTTATCTTTTAGATACGCTAAAATCTTGACCCAAAAAAAAAAAAAAAAAAGAACAGAGTAATATCAGCAGGAACAAGGCAGCAAAACATCTATGCCCAGATCAAATTACTCACGTAGTAAGATTGAATTTACAAATCACATATCAAACAGTTTATTATTAATTCAAACCAGTTATGATTCTTCCAAAAGCAAAAGGGAATCTTCTTCTTGATGAAAGAATACCTGCAAGTGGCAGCGATAGCAGCGAGACCATCGGTGGAGAAGCCTTCGCAGGAAGAAAGCACAAGAACCTTGAAATTCTTAAAGGACTTGGCTATGAGCTCCAAGCAATCGTCGGTCACCACCATCCTCTTCAGCCTTATCTCTTCAAGCCACGTGTAAGACGACGACATAGCCTCAATCCATGGATACACGTAACCTCCCCATCCGTCAGGTACCAAATTAAAGTCAGCAAAGTGAGGTTTTCCCTTGAGCTCCACGGATCTTACTTTCGGGAACCTCCTAATCACCGTCGCTGGACTCACGGCGTAACAGTTCCCGATGAAGACTTTCCTCCTGCACCACCGCTCGATCTCGTACCATGACTTGCACACCAGAGAGACTGAGTTCCTATCCTTATCCAGCTGAATAAACGAGAATACATGCTCAAGCACCTCTTCTGGGAACGACAAGGCTATTCGCTTCTGCATTGCGCCCAAATAACCTCGAGATCTCAATGATCCAACCACAATAAAAAAAGTTTGAGGAAGAGTTGAACAAGTAGTATATATTTATATCCGAAGGTTAGATCTGAGGCGCCATTGACGGAGATAATCTAGTTTCAAAGAAGAAGAAGCAGAAACAAAGATGAAGAAGAGAGAGAGAGTGGGGAAGAGAAGAGAAGGATAGGTACGGGAAGGAGAAGGAGGTCAAGTTAAAAAAAAAAAAAAGGCAACTATGGTTGGGTTTAATGTTAACCATGGTCAAACATATCCATGTGACCCTTTTCGGTGATTGTGATTGTCGATTCTGATGATGACACGTGTACTGTAAACTTCAAATACCAGCCGTCCGATTGAATGGTAGCGGGAGATTATCTTATCGACTGTGCAGCCGCAGAAAACGGGACGAGATATTTGAGAGGGGGTCGGCTTCTCTCATAATATCGCGAGAAGAAGGTGAATTGATAGGGTGTGGTAAGGTGTAGGGGAAGAGGGAATCTAATGATACGCGATGCACGGCTGGATATGAGGGGAAGCCCCGTAAATTGCGGGGACCACAACAGAATGTTAAAAAATAATGAAATGATCTGACGGTAACAAAAGCTATTACTGTTATTTATGATGACATCACAACCGTCCAATCATGTGTTCTGATGTGGAATCTGAGAGCATCTATCTCCTCCTATTACTATTTATTTTCATGTTTATTTATTTACCCACCGCTTGGATAAATTAATCATGTGTTTTGATGTGGAATCACACTTTCATTTTCTATTTTCTGGTAAAATCTATACTAATATAATCGCAGCACTTTTTGTGACGGGTGAGTAAAAAAGCTTTCGGATATATTGGATATCCGACTCATTTTAAAAATTCATTCACAAAAAATTTATTGGGTCGGATTATATTTAACCCAATTCATACACCGGATATTC